GAAATCATATTCTTTCAAAATGTAGTATAGTCTGTCTAGCTCTCTTCAATCATCATTTGAGCCTCAAAAATTTTCGAGGCTACGCAGACCTCTCCTGCCGCCCGCTGCTCCCCTCAGCAGTGTACTTCAGTCCTTCTGCCTGCTCTGCTCCCTGCTCTGACTCTGGTGAATTCTCTCACCCTCCCGCGCTTCTGACTATACCCAGTACTCTATAAATAAATAAATAAATCTTAAAAAAAAAAGATTTAATAAAAAAATTTTGAGGCTAATTCATATTATTGTGTATATGATAGTTAATTATTTTATGGCAAAGGGGTATTTCATCCTATGACTATTCTAAGTTTCTTTTCTCACCCCTGTTGATATATTTATCAGTCATCCAGTTTTGAGCTCCAATATGTAAAACTGTTGTCAGCAGTTCTGGGTGAGTCCTTTGTGGACATAGATTTTTATTTATCTTAAGTAGATATGCAAGAGTGGAATAGTAGGATTATAGGGAATATGTATGTTTGATTTTAGTAGAAACGTAAAACAGTCCTCCATAGTGATTGTATTATTTTGGGCTCACAGCAGAAATACATAAGTGTTCCATTTATTTCACAACATTGCCAAAATCTTGGTATGATCAGTCTTTTGAATTTTATCACTCTAGTGGGCTTGACTTGGTATTTCATTGTAGTGTTAATTTGTATTTTCCTTTCATGTAATGATGTTGGGTACCTGTTTTTGGTTTATTGTATCTTCTTTTGTTAATGATCTATTGAAATATTATGCTTACTTTTCAAAAAGTGAGATGTTTGGTTTCTTTGCACAGTTGAAGGAGTAGTATATACACACAAACTATATATATATATATAAAATATAAAAAGACGTAGCTAGTATATATAATTATACAAAATACCAACCGTTTGCAATACATATAATCAGTATATATGTGTGTGTGTGTGTGTATACTAATAAAAACAATATGGATGCATTGTTGCTGCTTTAGTGCCATATGATGTGTTTCCCTTAAAAGAGATATACAGATGCTCAAGTTGAAAATGTGCACAAATGTTCTTTTGTGCTAAGCTGCTTTTAGTGAGTCTTTCCAGCGGTTTAATCTACAAAGTGTTGAAAAATGCACAGCCTTTTGAGAGGATTAAAATTGCTTTGTATTGAGACACTGAGTTATAAACATATAAATCATGTATGTTTGTATATGTCTATATTCTATATTTATATATTTTGTATCCATTCTATGACCAAAATTTTCATTTTCTTCAGTGTCTATTCATGGAGTCCAATTCATCCTTTTTTTTCCTTTTTGTTTAGCAGTATGCATGTATGTGTGTGTTCATGTATGTCTTAGGTAAGAAATCTTTGTCTATATATGATCACAAAATTATTATCCAACTTCTTTTTTTCTAGAAGAATTATTATTTTATCTTCTATTTTTTAGGCATATGATAACTTCCCTTTTTTTTTTTTTGGTATAATGTGAGATAAGAGTTGAAGTTCATTTTTTCCATACTGTTATTCCCAGTGTCACTTGTTAAAAAGGATTTTGTTTCCCATGAATTTCTCAAAATAAAGTAACTGTACATATGTGTGTGTATCACTACACTGTTCATCCTTCCCATTGATCTACTTGTCTAAGCAAACAGCAGTACATTGATTTAATTACTGTCCCCCATAATCTTGAAATCACATATGTATCTCACTGAGCAAGAGTTTTCAGTTTTGATGTAGTCCAATTTATTAATTTTTAAAAAGATTTATTTTTAATTTTTACAAGAACCGGGGTACAGGCCAGATGCACGGGAGGGAGAGAGAATTCACCAGAATCAGAGTAGGGAACAGAACAGGCAGACTGAGGAAATACACTGCTGAGGGGAGCAGCAGGCAAGGCAGGAGAGGTCTGTTTTACCATGTGGGATTCTTGCAGGCCGGTCGGGATCTGACCGTGCTGCAGAGGCTGCGGCCAGCTTCATGGTGCTGCGCTCAACCACCTGCGCCACCAGGGAGGCCCCCCATTTATTAATTTTTAAACATTTTGCATCATACCTTTGATGTTGTAGATAAGAGGGCTGACTAATCCAATATTACAAAACTTTTTTCATGTTTTCTTCTAAACATTGTATGGGGTTAGCTCTTCCACTTATGTCTATGATGAACTTTTTTTTTTTAAGATTTATTTATTTATTTATACAAGCACTGGGTACAGTCAGAACCGCTGGAGGGTGAGAGAATTCACCAGAGCCAGAGCGGGGAGCAGAGCAGGCAGAAGGACTGAAGTACACTGCTGAGGGGAGCAGCGGGCGGCAGGAGAGGTCTGTGCGCCATGTGGGACCCTCCTCTGGTGGCCTGGGAGCAGCCTGGGATCGAACTGGCATCGCAGAGGCCGCAGGCAGCTTCGCAAACTAGCGCTCAACCGATGTGCCACCGGGGAGGCCGCTATGATGAATTTTAATTTGATTTTTCATATGATATGAAATAAAGATCAAAATTCAACTTTATGCATGTAGATATCCAGTTTTCCCAGGATCGTTTGTTGAAAAAAATCATTTCCCCTTGAATTGACAGAGTACCTTTTTTTGAAATGGATTCACCATGATGGTTAGTGCTAATTTTTGAGCATCGTTTTATTTCATTGATATATATGTGAGTACAACCTTATGCAGCTTTGTAGCAAACTTTGAAATCAGGAACTGTAATCCTCCAATTTTGTTCTTTCTAAATAATATTCTTCGACTATCCTGAGTGCTCTGCATTTTCAATTATACTTTAGAAATAGTTTTTCACTTTTGCAAACTAGCCTTCTGGGATTTGATGGTGACTGTATTAAATATACAAATCATCTCTTCCCCAAAAAAGGCATGCCTCTTATTTGATTTATTTCAGGTGATCCTCTTCCTTCCCTAACTCTGGAATGTACTTACAACATAAGTCTGACAATTTATTCCCCTTCATTGTTGCAGGAGGAAATCTTGCCTTTTTCAACCTGCAGCAATGTACAAGTGAAGTTCTGGTAGTTGAATTTTGAAGAGTCAACTATCACGTTTCAAATGATTAACAATCCTTGGTGTCTGCTGTTTCTGAGCAGGCAAATAAAAACACTTTCCACAAATGGTGCACTTACTCTTCACAAAGACCTCCTGGGGAGATAATGTCATTCTCTGTCTTGTGCCACTGATGGTAAGAGGCAGAGAACAGCTAAGCTCCTAGTCCTGGATGAGGGTGATGTGAGGCCAAAAGTCCTGGTTCCCATCCTGGCAGTCTAAATCTAAATTATAATACAACTCAAAACACAAAACAAGTTCAAATTATAATACAAAAAAACTGGAGAAATTGTGACATAGACACTCAATGGAAAACTACCCAACTATAAAAAAAGATGAAATAGTGCCTTTGGGGACAAAATGGATGAACCTTGAAGTGATTATGTAAGTGAAATAAATCAGATGGGAAAGACAGCTCTTGGGTAGTTTCATTTATTTGTGGAATGTAAATAATCAAAGAAAACAAACAGGCAAAATGAAATAACTTTTAGATTATGCGAAAAATATACTGGTTACCAGAGGAAAGGTGATGAGGGAGAGGACTGGAGAAGAAAGCAGACAGGACATTGGCACTGGAGTTTTGGTAAGGGTAATTGAAGCATGCGCATATATGTAGGTGTGAACATGTGCCCCCAAAATGATATAGTATGTAAAGGACTGACTGAGGAAAAAAAAATTTAATCTGAAACTGAGTAAAATCCAAGAGTAGAGGTTGTATTCTACTATTAGTCTTAAATATATTAGGAAGCCAAAAATTAATTAAACAGAAAAAATAAAGCTAAATATTCATATACAAAGAAGTTTAGAGTCTAGTGTGGAAACCACATGTTCTTTTGAATTTCTGGGAATATGTATAAAATTTTTGAGCATTTTATTTGTATAATTAATATTTAAATAGCAAATAGAATCAAGATGGTAATGTAACAGGGTGGTCCCCAGGAAAGGGGGAGGTTTTAGGTTTCCTGCCCCACCCAAAAGGAGGGTGGAGCTGAGCAGAGAGAGAAGGAGTACTTGCCTTCATAGGGGCCCCAAGAAAACTTTGATGGGAAATCTTAGATCCCTCTTACATAAATCTGACATGAAAAGCAAATCCACAGTGATGATGCTAGTTACAGTCAAGCTTCATCTAAGAGTATAGACACTCACTGTCCAGTCAATATATTGGGTTTTAAAATTTCACTAAATGGGCCTCCTTGGTGGCACAAGAGGTTAAGCACAGCACTGTGAAGCTATCTGCAGCCTCTGCAGCACAAGTTCGATCCCTGGCTGTCCAGAGAGCTAACCCACATTGAGCAGTAGAACTCTCCTGTCTTGCCACTGCTCCCCTCAGAGGTTTATTTCAGTAGATCTGCCTGTTCTGCTCCCCAGGACTCTGTCTCTGGTGAATTCTCGCACCCCTAACACCTCTGGTCTGTCCCCCAGTTCTTGTATGCATAAATAAATAAATCTTTAAAAAATAAATAAAATTTCACTAAATAACAAAGCTCATAACACAAATTATAGAGAAGTTAAACAAGGGGAAAATGCAAAATAATGAAAGAGAATATATCTTTATTTGCATGTTTGCAAATGAGAATTCAGCTTTCACATCAACTTCAGTCATGAATTATTCCAGCTTACAGCACGGACAGAAATCACATGAATAGGAATTAATTTGAACTGTTTGGGTAATAGCAGTCATTTTTACACATCATTGAGGGTGCCTGGCTAGCTCAGTCGGTAGGCAGAGCTTGAGACTCTGAAACATCATTGAATTCATCTATTAGCATACTCTGGTGCTTTTCATTTAGAGTCTGATCAAAGAATTGAAAAGAAACAAGGACTTAACTGCGTATTCAGAAATCAGTTGCACATAGAATTTAAGATCAGAATATTATAGAATCACAGCCAGTGATATTAGACTAAGATTTTTTTCCCCTAAATATGATGACCGTACAGAACATTCATTTCACCCTAGTAATGATAGCATTTATTGCAGGAAACTTTGCCAATGGCTTCATAGCTCTGGTGAACTGCATTGACTGGATCAAGAGACAAAGGTTCTCCTCAGTGGATAGAATTCTCACTGGTCTGGCGGTCTCCAGAATTGGGCTGATCTGGGTGACATTAATAAATAGGTATGCAACTGTGTTTTTTTCAACTTCCTATAGTTTTGAAGTGAACATTATTGTTAATATTGCCTGGATAACATGCAACCATCTTAGCACTTGGCTTGCTACTTGCCTCAACATATTTTATTTGCTCAAGATAGCCAATTTCTCTAACCTTATATTTTTTTATTTGAAGAGGAGAGTTAAAAGTGTCATTCTAGCAATACTGTTGGGGAGTTTGGTCTTTTGGGTTTTGAGTATTGCCATGATAAGCATAGATGAAGATGTGTGGACAAATGAATATGAAGGGAACGCCACTTGGATGAGCACACCGGAGGAAGTAAAACGCTTTTCGCACATGACTGTTGCCACAGTGGAGAACTTTATACCCTTCCTTATGTCCCTGACATCTTTTCTGCTGTTGATCTTTTCTTTGTGGAAACATCTCAAGAGGATGCAGCTCAGAGGCAAAGGGTCCCCAGACCCCAGCACCGAGGTCCACATCAGAGCCATGCAGACCATGGTCTCCTTTCTCCTGCTATTTGCCATTTTCATCCTGGCTCTCACCATCTCTCTTTGGAGCTCAAACGGGCTCCAAAACAAACTATCCCTAGTGTTTTGTGAGAGTCTTTTAGTCCTGTATCCTTCAGGCCACTCATGTATCTTGATTTGGGGAAACAAGAAGCTAAAGCAGGCCTGGGTGTCATTTTTGAGGCAGCTGAGGTACAAGTGGGTGGCAGCTCCAGTGTCATCTTGCAGAAAACAAACTGGTGGAGTCTAACATTTTCTACTCCTACTGCTTCTTCTAATGTGTATGTAGTGAGTAACTTCTGAAAATTTATATAAAGGTCTTTTGCCTAAGCTAGTCACAAAAATACATATGTGTGTGTTTATGAAAAACATAGATTAAGATTGCGGTACCATTAACTGATTTTTCCCATATAAGCAATTAAATGTTACAAGTTACTGTAAGAAATTCCCTAGGATTAAGAAGTTCAGGTGTATTTCACAGACATAGCCTGTGTTCAATTCTCATTAAAGAATTTGTGATTTATATTTACAACATTATTTACACATAATGAAGACCCAAATTACCAACTCAGCTCAGGAAACCATTGTTTTTTTGTATTGTAATTAGTGCCACACATATTTAAAACAGTGTGTTCAGACCATCTTTTGGATGGTCCTAAGAGTCATTCCTCGGTCACATGCTGAGAATGTTTGTTTGGGCAGATGTTACTCTATTATGAGAACTCAGATTATGGTTCATGGAGCACAATGAGAACTGTTATGAAAAAATACACACAAAATTCAGCAGTAACAAGGGCCTCCCTGGTGGTGCAATGGGTTAAGTTGCAGCACTATGAAGCTATCTGCAGCCACTGCAGCACAAGTTAGATTCCCTGCCAGGTTGCTAACCCACATGGCAGAGCAGACCTCTCCTGACCTGCTGGTGCTCCCCTCAGCAGTGTATTTCTGTCAATCTGCCTGTTCTGTGTCCCACTCTGTCTCTGGTGAATCCTCTCACCCCCCCACACTACTGGCTTACACCCCAGTTCTTGGATGCATAAATAAATCTTTAAAAAAATTCAGGAGTAACAAAGCATATTTATAGTAGATTTTATATATTCATACAATAAACAGCACTAAACAATATCCAATTTAATACAAGTAGATGAGAAGCTTAGAAGTGGATCAAGGTCTACCATGAGGATGAAGAAGAAAGAAAAATAACCATGAGCTGTTCTCAATGTTGCTCTGTGTCCACGTGCTGTTAGGAAAGTTGTTTTGTCCAATTTTTATATATTTTTTAAGATTTATTTATTTATGCATCGGATAGCTTCACAGTGCTGTGCCTAACCCCTTGCACCATCAGGTGGGCCCATTGTCCAGTTTTTAATTAAAAAGATTTAAAAGATTTATTTATTTGTGCATGCAAGCGCTAGGGTACAGGCCAGAGGTATAGGGGGTGAGAGGATTCACCAGAGACAGAGTGGGGAACAGAACAGGCAGACTGACTGAAATACACTGCTGAGGGGAGCAGTGGGTAACTCAGGAGAGGTCTGCTCTTGCTCCCTGGCTGGGGATCCAAATCATGCTGCAGTGGTTGCCAATATCTTCATAGGTTGTGTCTTAACCCCTTGTGCCACCAGGGAGGCCCTTAAAAAGATTTTTTGAAGTGTGATCTGGTGTTAAATTATTTTGTTTTCGGATGAGGAGGCACAGAACCCAGAGACCACGCTGGCCTGGACAAAACGGGGACAGTCTCCTGTACCACAGGAAGCTCCAAAATCAAGGAGGAACAATAACTACAGAGAGATGAACCACAACGTAAAAAATAAAGAAATAAATGTATTATTAAAAAAATAATTTTGTTTTCCCCAAGCCACCCTTGGATCTCTGAATTGCCAATTGTCTCTTCTATCTTGCTACCTAAACCTTTAGTTTAAAAGACTCAATTTTTCTCTATCATAAAAAATATCCATATAAGAATAGCAAAAAGTTATGGGCATATAATATAGTACTATTACCATATATTAAAATAGTATCTATGATGTCTGTGTGATACTTACAGGGCATGTCTTCAAGATCTGTTTATTATAATTTTGTGGAACAAAATGAAATGGAAATTATGTTGATAAATTATTGATAGTAAGTTTTACTATAATAAATTTACAGCTTTGTTCAGTGATTTCATTTACATCAATATTAATTCTTAGTAATATTAAATTTTAATAGCATTATCTAAACATTAAGATTGAAATCATTTTCACATCTGGTTTCTTTGTCTTTTTTTTTAAAGATTTATTTATTCATGCATACATGAACCGGGGTACAGGTCAGATGTGTGGGAGGGTGAGAGGATTCACCAGAGAGAGAGCGGTGAACAGAACAGGCAGACTGACTGAAATACACTGCTGAGGAGAGCAACAGGCAAGGCAGAGAGGTCTACCTTGCCATGTGGGAATCTCGCCGGCCGGCCGGGATCGAACCCATGCTGCAGAGGCTGCAGACAGCTTCACAGTGCTGCCCGCAACTGCCTGCGCCATCAGGGGAGGCCCTGGTTTCTTTATTTTTAATCCTCTGTTTTCCTCAGTTGAATATTAGCACTGTGATGTATGTTCATGTCTATCTTTTTCTGCTGAGTCTCTAAACATAAAAGTCAACCCATGGAATAGTTGGACAAAATGATATTCCAACAATGAAATAAATGAATGGATAAACTGTATTTGGACTGGAAAACCAATGAAAATGACACACATGACATAATCTGCAGGTTGCTTAATTTTCCTGGTTCTACTTCACCACTTAAGTGCCAATAAATAAATCTGTATATTCTATGTTCTAATGACTATATTATTGGGTAAACAAAATGCCGTGACAAAGAGTAAAGATTCCCTGAAGTGACTTAACACATTATAAATTTAATTTATTCTTTTAACAGTACCTTTTCTACAAATTTATCCAGGAAATCAGACTGTTCAAAAATACGTCACCTTTAACATGTGACTTCCAATGTTGCCTTGTAGTCATCTTCCATCTCAGGAGGAAAAGGTATATGGAAGAATGTGCATGAAATTGGAATTGGCCTATAAATGGTGCACATAATTTCCAATCACATGACATTGTTCCAATTCCCATCACATTGCCACAAACCACCTGTAAGGGAGCCTGACTAATATATCGTTGCACAGCCCAGATAGAAGAGGGAAACTTGGAATTTTGCACACAGAATATTATTCAGCCATAAAAAAGAAATGCAATCTTGATATTAGCAAAAACACAGATGGATCACAAGGTCATTCTGCTTTGTGAAATAAGTCAGACAGAAAAAACAAATATCACATGATCTCTCTTTTATGTAGAATCTAAAGCTCTTAAAAAAATAAAAAAGCCCAAGCTCATAGGTCCAAAGAACAGACTGATAATTACCAGAGGCAGGGTGTGAAGAGTAGGAGAAATTGTAAAGTGTTCAACAGGTACAAACTTCCAATTATCGAATAAGTCATGGGGATATACTGTACTATACAACATGGCTACTATAATATTTTATTGGCTATTTGAAAGTTGCTAAAAGAATATACCTTTATGAGATGACAGGTGTTAACTAGACTTATTGTAGTGGTCATTTTACCACTACAGACATCAAGTCACTATGCCATTTACCTGAAATCAATATAATGTTAAATATTAATTATACCTCAATGAAAGTAAAAGAAGAAATACTTCAGGTAGCTACTGAAGAATGAGAGGAATCACAGGTAGATTGAAGGTAGATATGAAAAGTGTTTGTTCCCTCATTTCCTTTAGAATCAGGAAGCACACTGCTCAGGGAGTCCTTTGACCAGATGGAGACACTGCAGCATTGGGAAATGATGATTGTGCAGGTTTGTTAGAAAGAAGACTGGAGATTGCTTTTCTCTCTTAAGAAACTCCTTAGCTGAATGGCAAGGAGGGAGATCCAGAATTTCTCATGTGCTCTTAGTCAGGACTCAAAGTAGCTGAGTGAGAAGCAATGACATGGCCATGGGGCATGGTGAGGACTCACTGGCCTTAGAATAGTGGCTACAGCCTGGCCAGCTGAGGCAAAGGCCAGATGGAGAAAGTGGAGGAGACCCAGGGGATCTGACGTCATTGTGGGAGCTGAACTGGGGAGATTTGGGGGTGAAGGGCAAGAACTCCTTGAGGTGTGAAAGAACAGATCATGAGCTACCCAAGCAGAACATTCCAGAAGCAGATGTAAAGACAGAAGCTGCCTGACCCAAGATTAAGTCGCTGGCTATGTGTGCTGCACACGCCTCTCCATCTGGGCCTCCATCAGAGACCACCTGAGTCCCTGTCCCTCCATCTCTGGGCAGGAAGGGGCTTTAAAGCGTCCCAGAAAGTCTCTTGTGAAGGAACAAAAGTCCTTCATCAGCCCTGATGGATAGTTTGAACTTGAAATTATCTGAATATTTTCTCAAAAGAGACTTTTAAATTAAAAAAAGGGCATTTGGGGGCAGAAAGGACTCTCACCACTGATGGCACTGCACGGCTCTGGCCCCAATCCCCATGCCCTCTACATCAGAAGGGTGCTGGGAAGACATTGGCCTCTGATGTGCACTGAGCTCCAGGGTGCATTGTGGACACATCATCCTCTCAGCTCCACACTAAGTTTCCCTGGGGAGTGGTGGCAGCCAAGTAATTATGCACTTGAGCCAGAAATAAGCAAAGAGTGCTCATCTCCTTTAGCTTAGGCTGTCTCATGGATCTACAAAAAATTTAGCTTGTTTAAAAAATTCTGAGAAAGGATATAACTTACCTATTCCAAGTTTCATAAGAAATTATCCTTTTTTTCTTACAAGCTTTATTATTTTATCTTTTGTACTCTGTCCATCATGCTCTCAATTAAATTATTTTGTACATTTGAGATAAAGGTTGGAGTTCAATTTTCCATACTGTTGTTTAGTTTCCCAGCATCCATTATAGAAAATAATTTTATTTCTCATTAAATTAGTGTTTTGTTGAAAATGAACTGAATGGATGTACATGTGAGATCTTCCTAGACTGTATATTCCCAGCATCCACTCTCATGAAGGATTTCAGTTGATGTTAATCTTCCTTTCTTTCACAGCTCTCTCATGAATTTATATTTTTAGCAGCTTATCCCCCTTATCTTGGTTGAGTCAGGAAGAGTCTTGCCTTCTTCAGCCTGTTACATTCTGCTTCTAGATGGAAATTCTCACAAGCATCAAACTTGTGAACCTGGACGCATCAAATAACACAGGATGAATGAGTAAGTCACAGTCCTCAGAGCCTCGGAACCAGACAGTCAACACTGAAAGCACTTGGCACAAACAGAATAGTAACTCCTCCAAATGCCACTCAGACAGGATTTTATTATTATCCACATAGACTGGTGATCACAGAGGCAGACTGTAGTTATAAAACAGAACCCAGGACAGAGACATGTGAAGCAGAACACTTGGGTTTTCTTTCATGTTATTTGACTCTGAGATCCTCTGCTGAAAACAAGTATATGGTAAAGACTGAAACTAATTAATATCCAGGGTAGAGGTAGGTACGGTCATCTATTAATCTAAAAAAAAAACAAAAAACAAAAAACCCTCAAAACTCAATTTAAAAATTTTTTAGAAAAAAATAAAATTGAATAATTATATCTGCTTCTTTTGACGTGCCCAAAGAATATTTACAAAATTCCCGGACATTTTAATGAAATGTTAGTATTTAAATAACAGACTAAAATAAAAATTTTTATCAAAGGGTTGAACATGATTTACTAATAATGGGTTGAGAAGTGTATGTGGAAGAAAGTGGAGATTTAAACTTGGAATTCTCCCTGACACTGACTTTGCATTAGAAAATTATGGGATGTTAACTTCATTCATTCATGAGATATACATGTGGTTATCTTGGAAAAAATAAAGTTGAGCCCTTCCTGGTGGCCTAGGAGTTAAGTTTCAGTGCTATCAGCTCCATGGACTGAGTTCAATTCCCAACCAGGGAGCTAATTCACATATGGTGCAGCAGACCTCTCCTGTCTCGCCCTCTGTTCCCCTCAGCAGTGTATTTCAGTAGATTTGCCTGTTCTGCTCCCCTCTCTGTCTCTGTGAATCCTCTCGCACGCACCCCCCCCCATGCCTCTGGCCTACACCCCAGTTCTTCTACTCAAAAAAAAAAAAATAAAGTTAGACATAAATATTCGTTTTTGGAAAACAGTTTTTAGGGAGTATTGACCTTCTTGGAATTCTCAAGAAAATCTTGAATGCTTTTGATGGGAAAAGCATTCTTCCTTCATTCACCTGACATTAAAAGCAAAAATCCAAATTAACAATAACCCTAGTTATGACCAAGACCTATCTTTTAATTTCGAAAATTCATTGTCTATTCTATGTACTGAGTTTTTAAATGTTATTAACAACTACAATGATGAATACAAATTATGGAGACGTCAAACAAGGAAAATAATTGCAAAAGAGTATGTCTGAATTTGCATGTTAGCAAATGAGAATACAGCATTCAACTCAACTCAACTGAACTATCTCAGCCTGTAGCAAGGACACACACAGAGTATGACTAGGAATCTGTTTGAGTTAGAAGGAATGTCATTGTTTTTCATAACGACAGAATGAATCCATGTATTGCATACTCTGTTGTCGTCCTGCTTCACACTGGTGACAGAATTTAAAAGAAATAAGAATTTAATGCACATTTTGAAATCAGCTGCATGTAAAATAGTGATTTTAGACTTGAATTTTTGTATTTTTGGACATGATAATCTTAACGATTCTTTCCATCCTAGTAATGACCGGATTTGTTCTGGGAAATTTGGCCAATGGCTTCATAGCACTGGTGAATTGCATTGACTGGGTCAAGAGACAGAAGTTCTCCTGGACGGATGGAATTCTCACTGCTCTGGCGGTCTCCAGAATTGCTTTGCTCTGGGTAATATTACTTTATTCTTATTCAACTGCGTATAATCCAGTTCTACAAAGCGTAAAAGTAAGAATTATTGTTAAACTTGTCTGGATAGTAAGCAACCATCTTAGCACCTGGCTTGTTGCTCTCCTCAGCATATTTTATTTGCTTAAGATAGCCAATTTCTCCAGCCACATTTTTCTTCACCTAAAGAGGAGAGTTAAAAGTGTACTTCTCATCATAATATTAGGGAGTTTGCCCTTTTTAGTGACTCACTTTGCAATGGCAGGTATAACCGAGACTACGCTGACAGACAGATGTGAAGGAAACATGACTTGGAAGACCAAAATCAGAGACATCATATGCTTGTCAAATATGACTGTTTCCACTTTAGTTATTGCCATACCCTTTACCATGTCCCTGATATCTTTTCTACTACTAATCTTCTCCCTGTGGAAACATCTCAAGAGGATGCAGCTCAGAGGCAAAGGATCCCAAGACCCCAGCACCAAGATCCACATCAGAGCGTTGCAAACCATAGTCTCCTTTCTCTTGATGTTCGCTGTTTTCTTCATGGCTCTCATCATCTCTATTTGGAGCCATAGTCAAGTCCTGAGAAAACCCATCCTCCTGTTATGCCTGGCTATAGGAATTCTGTATCTTTCAATCCATTCACTTATCTTGATTTGGGGAAACGAGAAGCTAAAGCAGGCCTGGTTGTCATTTCTGAGGCAGCTGAGGTGCTGGCTGGAGGAGAGGAAGGGGTTGGTAGCTCCCGTGTCTTCGTGCAGAAAACAAACCTCTTCTACTCCTATTGCGCCTTCTAATATGTACGCAATAGAGTAACTTCTGAAAGTGTATGTAGAAGTCTTTCACCCAAGCTTATCACAACACCTATATATGTGTGTTTATGAAAAATATTAGGAAGATTGTAAGATTAGCAAACCATTCAGTGTGATTTTCCAGATAAGCACTCTAATGTTGCAAAATGTTGTATGATATCCTTTAGGATTATGAAGTCATGCAAATTTCGTATATATATATTTAATTTCATATATGTATTTTAAGTTATCATCTCATGAAAGAATCCATGATGAATAATTTTGCATTTTAGATGATATCATGATATTATTGCTATTTTCCACTGTAGCTAGCACCAAATATAACACAGTGTGCTTAGGTTTCATTGTTTGAACTGCCAGTCTTTTTTTTTTTTTTGCATATAAAAATATGTTTTTAGGTCTTTTTGTATTCCAAAATGACTAATTTCTCTCCATAATGAAAAACATCAGACTATTAGATCATACAGATTGGACATTAACAGATTTAGAAAACAACATAATTTTTTAAGGTGATTAAAATTGTTTATTCTGTATTCTTAATTTAATAGACAAGAATTTATTAATCATCTTTCCATATACTGGCCACTGATTCTAATTTAAATATTGTGTATATTTTTTAACTAAAAGTTAACAGTTTATGGTCAGAGAAGATGGTTAGTATGATTTCAATCTTGGTGTATCTGTTGATGGTTGTCTTGTGTCCCAGTATGTGATTGATCCTGGAGAATGATCCGTGTGCACTTGAGAAAAATGTGTACTCAGATTTTTTTGGGTTTAGTGTTCTGTAGATGTCTGTTAAACCCAAGTGCTCTAGATCCTTATTTAGAGCTTTAGTGTCTTTACTTATTTTTTGTCTCATTGATCTATCCATTGTTGATAGTGGTGTGTTGAAGTTTCCTACTACATATGTGTTTTCTCTGATGTCTGTTTTCAAAGATGATAATAGTTGTCTGAGATATTTTGGTGCTCCTTCATTTGGTGAGTATATGTTAATGAGTGTTATTTCTTCTGGAAGTATTGTCCCCTTGATCATAATGTAAGAAAACTATAAAACACTGTTAAAAGAAATAGAAGAAGACACAAAGAAATGGGAAGACATCCCCTGCTCATGGATTGGAAGAATTAACATCATCAAAATGGTCATCCTACCAAAAGCAATATACAGATTCAATGCTATTCCAATAAAAATTTCAATGACATTCTTCAAAGAAATAGAACAATTATTGATGAAATTCATATGGAATCACCAAAAACCCCAAATAGCCAAAGCTCTTCTGAAAAAAAAAAGAAGGGAATGGAGGCATCACATGCCCACACTTCAAACTATACTACAAAACCATAATCATCAAAACTGCATGGTATTGGAACAAGAACAGACACATAGACCAATGGAATAGAATAGAAAATCCAGAAATAAACCCACAGATTTATGGTCAACTAATATTTGACAAAGGAGCAAAGACTATGCATTGGGGCAAAGAAAGTTTGTTCAATAAATGGTGCTGGGAAAACTGGGTTGCTACGTGCAAAAGAATGAAGCTTGACCACTACCTCACACCATGCACAAAAACCAACTCAAAATGGATTAAAGAACTAGACATAAGATCTGAAACCATAAAATACATAGAAGAAAATATAGGTGAAACACTACATGACATGCACCTCAAACACATCTTTACAGACACATCGCCCAAAGCAGTGAGAGTGAAGGCAAATATAAACAGCTGGGACTACATCAAATTAAAGAGCTTCTGCACAGCAAAAGAGGCAATAACAAAAACAAAGAGAAACCCCACTGACTGGGAGAACATTTTTGCACCCAACACCAATGATAAAGGACTGATCACAAAAATCTACAAAGAGCTGACGAGACTCAACAAAAACAAGGAAAATAATCCAGTCAAAAAATGGGAGAAGAGCTAAAAAGAAACTTCTCTGAAGAGGAAATGCAAATGGCCAACAGACATATGAAAAAATGTTCAACATCACTTGTAATCAGGGAAATGCAAATCAAAACTACCATGAGACACCATCTCACACTAGTGAGAATGGCACATATTAAAAAACTAGCAACAACAAATGTTGGCGAGGTTGTGAAGAAAAAGGAACTCTTCTGCACTGCTGGTGGGAGTGCAAACTGGTCCAGCCACTATGGAGAGCTGTGTGGAGATTTCTTGAACTACTAAACATAGAGCTTCCATATGATCCAGCAATTCCATTCCTAGGTATTTACCCAAATGACACAGAAACAGTAATTCCAAAGGGCACATGCACCCCTATGTTTATAGCAGCACTATTTACAATAGCTAAGCTATGGAAACAACCCAAATGCCCAAAAATAGATGAGCTGATCAAGAAGATGTGGTGCATATACACAATGGAATATTACTCAGCAATCAAAAAAGATAAACACATGCCATTTGCAGCAACATGGATGGAGCTAGAAGGGATCATGCTCAGCGAAATAAGTCAGAAAGAAAAAGAAAAATACCGGATGGTCTCACTCATAGCAGGAATTTAGAAAACTTAAATAAGAGACCAGGAAAAAGACTAATCAATACAAAGTAAAAATCAAAATCAACAAGCAACTATAAACCAGAGACACACTATGGCGGTGGAGGGGGGTGGGGGGCGGGAGAAGGAAGGATTAGGGTCAAAATAAGGGGAGGTCACTTATATGGGGAATAGAAGCAAAATGAAAATGCATACATTGAGCAAAGATGAAAAAAGAGGTAAGAATTATATAAAATAAAATATTTAAATAAAAAATAAATAAATTAATAAAAAAAGTTAACAGTTTACTTGATATTAGGTAAAAGACTCCATATCACATATTTATATATATATATATATCACATGTATATGAAATATATATCACACATTTTTAGAAACTAAACTGTCACTTTTTTGGTATTCATTTATTTTTTTGTACTTTTTAATTTATTTTTTAATATTAATTTTTTTATTTTTTACATCACTTCATTTTTAATCAATATTTGCTTCCCCACCCCCTCAGGTGTAGTCCCCATAGAGTTTCCTTCACCAGTGCACCCATGCGCCATCACAGTCCCCTGTGCTCCTCCCTCCCTCCCTCTGATCCCTCTCCCTCCTCCTCCCCTGCAGGATGTCTCTGATTTATAATTGTCCGTTTTTGCTTTGTTGCATTTTGTACTGTTGTTATTTTTTTACACTGATGTCTTATTGGTGAACTGCCAGTCTTTTGGATGGTCATGAAAACCAGTTTTAAATCACACATTGAGGATGGATGTTTGAGATAATGCTATTCCATCACTAGTGCTTTATAGTTTACAGAGACCAGCGAGAACCGTTGTTAGTAAAAGAGGCACACAATGAAATTCAAGAGTGACAAATACATTAGTAGCAACTTTTTATGTATGATGCTGAGGAATTGCAGATCATACAAGACAGTTAGGAAAGTCATTTCTTCCAGTTTTGAAATAAGAAAAACTTTTTGAAAGTAAGATCTGTCATCAAATTATTTGCCTTTTCCCCAAGCCACCCATGGATCTCTAAATTGCCATTCTCTCCCCATCATGCCACCTAAAAATTCCTTTAAACTTCAGGTAAGAAGACTCAATTATGCACTTTCTTTAAAAAATGTTTATACAAGAACAGTAGAAAATATGGTATATTATTCAATGACCTTTAGGCATACACAAATAAAGTATTTTTTAAAGATTTATTTATGCATACAAGAACTGGGTTATAGGCCAGAGGTGCAAGGGATAAGAGGATTCACCAGAGACAGAGTGGGGATCAGAACAGGCAGACTGACTGAAATACACTGCTGAGGGGAGCAGCAGGTAAGACAGGAGAGGTCTTCTGTGCTATGTGGGTCACCTCCCTGGCTGGCCTGGATAGACCTCATGCTGTAGTGGGGGGGTGGTAGCTTGACAATGCTTAGCTTTAACCCCTGCACCCCCCGGGGGGGCACAAATAAAGTGTTTTTGAACAAGCTATACCATGCATGCCTTCTAAAGGAGGGGTTTCTTTTGTTTTACAATAGCCTTTGTCTATTTCCATGAAATGTTTCCAAGTGCCCTCCAACTTCAGCTCCCAGATTCCATGTTCTCCTCTTCTCTGGAATATACAAAAACTCCATTTCTCCCTCACAGATGTGCGTGGTAATGTGATTTAAATCTCAGCATGTTATATGGGTAGAAATCATGTGCACTCTTACACGCCCATCTAAAATAACTACACGCTCATCTGTACAGCTTTCTCCACCCAGCCTCCTGGAATGGAGGTGACTCCATGACAACCTAGAAAACACTTGTTAAAGGTGTGTAGCTTTGATGAGCCCAATGCACTGGCAAATTGCACACAGAAGGCCCCTCAGATACTGTTAAAGGAGTAAATTTAATTTATATTGTGTTCAATTCACTATATATTAGTAAGCACATTTTGGTACCCAGTCTAATGCAGTTCTTGGACCTTGGAGTATGCAGATTTGTTTACAGATATTTGAATGATGAAGAAATAGAACCAGGATGGGGCCTCCCTGGTGGTGCAAGAGGTTAAGACACTTCACTATGAAGCTATTTGCAGCCACTACAGCACAAATTCTATCCCTGGCCTGGGAGGTGACCCACATGGTGCAGCACATCTTTTCTGACTCACCTGCTGCTCCCCTCAGCAGTGTATTTCTGTCGATCTGTCTGTTCTGTTCCCCAGTCTGTCTCTGGTGAATTCTCTCACCCCCCATACCTCTGGCCTGTACCCCAGCTCTTGTATACATAAATAAATAAATCTTAAAAAAAAAAAGAAATAGAACCAGGATATCCATGCAAAGCACACAGATGTTGTGTTGGGTGTCATTTTCATAAATTTTCAAGTTCAGTTTCTCCATCCAGTTATTTTGTCATTAGAATATCATTTGGATCAACTTCATGAACTGAATTCAATGTCTTGGGTGTCAGTAGTAATAAGATAGATACATTGCCCTTATACTTCTGGATGAGACAGGTGATTAAAAAATTAGTA